TAGGCATGGAGGGTAAAAAATAAAGTTTTCTTTATTAATGGAAAACTGCTAAAAGTTTGTCCTCATTTTAGGCTTTAGAGTAAGGTCCAGTAAGGCAAGTATCAGCACAGTCTTCCAAACCAATTATATCATTATGTGTCTGGTTTTGTTTTTTTTTTTTTTTTTCCTAGCAATGATGTTGCCATTCATTGTTTTATGATTCTGTCTCATTGGTCTCTGCACTGAAAAGCCATAAATATGCCAGTGCGTCTGTGCAGAGGATCTCCATTAGGGCTTGAGCTAAGACCACCCACTCATTTCTCCTGAGCAAAGCAGTAACTGTCAGATAGCACCTCTTCATTAGCTACCAACCTGGACTGGATGTGAACTGGTGACCAACAGGTGAAAGGTATTTTGTATCCCATTATTAATCCTCAGAGCTGTCAAGGCCTTCCATTAAAATCTTATGAATAACGTTTTTATCCTTCAAATAAGTCTGCTATCATGCAGTTGTAAACTTATATTTTTTCCTTTGTACAACTGCCAAAGCATGTGGTTGTGCATATACAACTGTACACCCTGCTGCTAGAAACTGGGAGGTTTCCAGTGGCTCTCAAAGCCTGCATTTGTATGGGTCAATACACATAACAGTAAACTTGCACACAAAATGCCTTCCTGCTCCAAATCAGTATTTTTCAGCTGTTTAAACAATTATTTGGAGTTTCTTTAAAAGTCAGAATTTTATTCCCTTATGCCATATGTTTTATTTAACACTGAAAACATACAGTGGGAAGGGACAATGACAGGGATTGCTGTCTTAATCTAACTACACAGTGTGTGTGTTCTTTTATGGTAGTTAAGGTGTACATTGTATGGTTGAAAAAAGTTGCTAAATGCTAAATTTTAATTGTGAAATAGCCTGAATCTGTCATGTGATTAGATTTTATATCATTTGACACAAATATAATGTGTATTAAATATATGCTGAGATATTGACATTTTAGCAGCAGACAGATGGCACCAAAGAGGTCATTTTAGATGGTGTGATGCAAGGTTCCTCAGAATGCCGTTCTGCAAAAAAATGGTTTTATTCTTTTTTTTTCTAATTTTTCACGAATGTGGATATATGAAAATGATGGCCAACATGAACAAATGTAACTGTGCTGATCTTTCATAGTCAGATCATTTTATGTCTTGGGTGATATAATGTAAGATTTTTCTCCCCTTTATCTGTTAATGGGTATTTGAGCCTGTTAACAGCACAGTCATTCATTTGATGCTATGTATGCTGCACCTGTCATCATTATGTACTCCAGGTCTCTTGACTGGCCTGAACTTGAGTGTAATACGCCATTTGGAAAGTGCCCAAAAGTGTAGAGCAGTTATGTAGTTTTGGTGATCCCAGTGAATAAAAATTTATCATGTTTGACAAATGTTTTTGGCCTTATTGTCATAGTTATGTAGGCAGAAGCTAAGTATTTTGTGACTGTATTCAATGAACTGTTCTTCTGTGCTCTAGAAATAGACACAAAGATGGAGTGCAACCAGATAAAACTAATGATGTTAGTCTGTTAAAAAAAGCAATGATGCAAAATCTGTAGATGTTAAGTCTGTCAGTATTACTGATACATATGCTTGGTGCCTGTCATTTTGAAGCCTCAAGGCTGGACTTACATATGTCATGGTAACTTTTGCCAGTTTAAGACTGCCAAGCTTGGAGTTAAATGTGCAAAATTTATTGTTTAATTTTCACCCTCTCCCCCTAATTTTTTTAATATGAAAAATTGTTTAATACTGACCCAAATTTACATTGTGTTTTCAAAATGAGATTATTTTCTTCATTTTTTTGTTCTTGTCCTGGTTCAGGCTGGACTAGAGTTCCTGTTTGTTTTAGTAGCTGGAGGAGTGCTGCAGCACCCTGAGACCCCAGGGGCTCCCCAGGTCCCAGTGCCCTCACCTGTGTGCGGGGGCGGGGGGAGCACAGCTGGAGGGCTGGGCCCCGATTGGCCGATAGTCCATGTCACGTGACATTGTGCTCACTATATAAAGGCAGGAGAGGGCTGGGAGGGGCTGCCACTTCTGGGAGTGTGGCTGTGGGGCCTTTGTGTTGGGGATTGCTGGCCAGGAGCAGGTGGGTGTTGGTCGGCGGGTGGTGAGCAGCTGTATTGTACATTACCTACTGATATTGCTGTCAGTGTATTATTCTGTTACTATTATTAAACTGTTTTTATCTCAACCCGCGAGTCTCCCTTTGCCCCTCCGATTCCCTCCCCATTCCCAAGTGGGGGGAGGGTGGGTGAGCGGCTGTGTGGCATTTAGCTGCTGAGTAGGCTCAAACCACAACAGTTCTCAACTATGTTTTTAAGCTATTTAAAATAATAGAAATTGCATTTATTCTATAGACATGTCTTTACTGTACTAGTAGATGAGGGAAAATCAGTGTGGGCTACATAGAATCATAGAAAGGTTTGGGTTTGAAGAGACCTTAAAGATCACCTAGTTCCAACCCCCTGCCATGGGCAGGGACACCTTCCACCAGCCCAGGTTGCTCAAAGCCCCGTTCAGCCGGGCCTTGGACACTCCCAGGGAGGGGGCAGCCACAGCGTCTCTGGGAAACCTCTGACAGTGTCTCACCACCCTCACAGTGAAGAATTACTTCCTTGTACCTCATCTAAATATTTCAGTTTAAAACCATTACTCCACATCCTATCCCTACACTCCCTGATAAAGTGTCCCCTCCCCATCTTTCCTGTAGCCCCCTTTATGTACCAGAAGGCCACTATAATGTCACCCCGGAGCATTCTCTTCTCCAGGCTGAACAACCCCAACTCCCTCAGCCTGGCCTCATAAGGGAGTTGCTCCAGCCTCCAGATCATCTTCATGGCCTTCTCTGGACCTGCTTGAGCAGAGTCATGTCTTTCCTGTGCTGAGGGCCCCAGATCTGAACACAGTACTCCAGGTGGGGTCTCATGAGAGCAGAGTAGAGGGAGAGAATCACGTCCTCAACCTGCTGGACACACTTCTTCTGATGCAGCCCAGGATGAGGTTGGCTTTCTGGGCTGTGAGAACACATTGCTGGCTCATATTTGGTTTTTCATCCACCAATACCCCAAGTCCTACTCCAAGAGCAGAATAGAGGGAGAGAATCACCTCCCTCAACCTGCTGGTCATGCATCTTTTGGTGCTGTCATGTTTTTTTGTTTCGGGGTTTTTGTTTGTTGGGGTTATTTTTTAAAAAAACAAGGATGAGAGGCACTGCAGTGTAAGATAGCATAGTCTATCATGTAGTTGTACCCTTTTGTTGACAGGAGCCTTGTGCCATGTGGATATGGTTTTAAGATATGTAGGTTTACTAGAGAAAGTTTACTAATTAATAAACTCTTACCTCCAATGAACATATATTTTGTGAAACTGGAATATGGTAAATGATAAGCCTGCTTGTATCTCTGCCAGGATGGTCTCTTGAAAATACGACCTCTATGTTGGTTTTGATGGAACCTGGTCTTGATATAGCTCTTGGTGTGCTGCACAACTTCTTTCTCTCTCTTTATTTTATTGTCTCTAAGGCCCTTGAGGGAAATACTGAGAATCTGGAGCAACTGCAATCATGAACAGACCTCATTATTATTCCTGTGTTAACTTGTGGGATAGTGCAGGATGTATGCAATGTCTGTTTCCAGACCATGAAACTTGAGAAAGTCTATATGCTTATATCTGTGAAATAACACTCAAGGCAACCTTGAGAGGTGCAGACCTCAGTGCCTTTCTTCCACGGTGGTTAAGCTTACCTGTTCTTTATTCCTGAGGCCTTCTATTTTATAACACAAACTGTGGCAACTAATTTAATAGGGACAGGGATAAACAGGTCACAGGTATCTTACTGAATAGCTGATGTTTATTGTGTTTGAGTATCAGATGAGGCTAATCTAATATTGCTATTTTCATCATGAAAACAGTAATGACCACTAATGGATCTGCTCTGGCATTTGTATACCATAATGCAACTTTAGTGGCTTGGTGATTTCAGTGATAGGAAAATCTGTGGATTAGAACATGTCTGTTGTTTTTACCATCATTTCCGTTGTGGCATTTTTTTCTGACCATTTTGTCATACTATTGACCATCGATTTTAAAAATTACTTTTTCTATTTCAGTTATGTTTTGTGGTTGACAGAATTGATTTCTGATTAAATCTTACTTCCCACATTAAAATTAGAAATATTTTCTATTTTTTTACTTCCCAAATTAAAATCAAAAATAATTTCTATTGTTTGTAATAACTTTACCATTGGCTGTGTATATATATTATTTAGGACATGAGGAAATGAAATGAAGCTGTGTCAGGGGGAGTTCAGATTGGATATTAGGAAAAGGTTCTTCACTGAGAGGGTGGTTAGTTGCTGAAACAGGCTCCCCAGGGAAGCGGTCACAGCACCAAGGCTGTCAGAGTTCAGGGAGTGTCTGGACAACACTCTTAGTCATGTGGTTTAGTTTTAGGTAGTCCTGAGAGGATTAGGGAGCTGGACTTCGTGATCCTTATGGGTCCCTTCCAACTTGAGTTATTCTATGATTTCACAGAAATAAAACATGTTTTTTTCCTTTCCCCCTCCCCTCTCTCTTTTTTGACTAAAGCTCCTTCCTACCTTTGCTTATGATTTTGGCTTGGGTCTGTGTAATGCTCATCCTGATGTCTGTCCAGAAAAATAGTGTGGAGCTTTATGTTAACCCAAAACCCTTCACAATATTTTTTGCAATACATTTCTACCACTTCCCTACTTCTTGGACATTGATAATGTTGGACACATTTCTTCTTCAGTCTGGAGATCTGCAGCATAAAGTAGCTGACCACAAAACTTACTGTAACACTTAAACATTCATATTTACTTAGGTTAACTCTAGTGGTAATAGTAGTTATTTTTCTCTAGTGCTTGGAATTTGGAAGTTGTAGCTGTACATGATTGCTCCATGGTGACATACTGTGAAAATAATTCCTCCCCCCCCCCCCTTTTTCTTTTTTTAAGGGACGAAAGAGTGAGGCAGAAAAGTACTTCATGAAGGCTATTCAGCTGGATCCTACCAAAGGAAACTGCTACATGCATTATGGTATGTTTCTCATAGATAGGGTTTCCATACATATTCCAGGCTTGCTGTTAATCTCTCTGAGTGATTAAGGATTTGAAAAATGCTACTGGCAAAATATCTTCTTTAAAGGGAAAGAAACTGATGTACCATATATAACTTCATCTCCATTTCAATTTGTTAATCACTGCAGAGGGAGAGGTGAAGATTTTCATATTTTGCATAGTTTTCCTCCTCTGAGAGGAATTCCAGTATTGCTGCCTCTCTGGGAAAGAAAAAAGGTGACTATTGCCATATGTCAAAGTTTCATGGCCTGGAATATTATTATTAACAGTTTTGGCCTAACTGCTGGCTGCTGGTGGGTGAGCAACTAGAAGTTATACATCAGTCTGCGTGAGTTCTATATGTTGAAGTGTCTGCTTTTTGTTGAGGACTTATGGGCCTTACATCTACCTCCTTCCCAGCATCTTCATGGCTTGAAATGGGTAAGGATTACAAAAGGTTTTGACAAGTTGGCTCTATCTTTGTCATACTAAGTCATGTATGTGCATAAAGCACACAGTTAATTTGAAGGTATCTTTATAACTTTGGATTGATTTTGCTAGATGTGCAAAAAATATTTCCAGATGTGATTAGTCCCAAGGAACCAGAAATATTTAACTTTATGGACTAATTCTTATTGTATTTTAAAGCTGATAATAGACAAATCTAAAAATGCAAGCTATGTAATCCCAATGGGAAAATATAGAAAATAGTAATAAATTTCATCTTAATTAAGGAAGAAGTTATGGAACCACAAACATACTATATATATATTTGTATATTGTTTTAATTTCCTCTTCTGATTCTAACTGGTAAAGGCAAAGTAAATAAAAATGAATGGCCAAAAGAGAAAATTAATCTCACATAATAACCATGTTTTTACTTTGTGTGATATCTTTGTCTGAATTGCTCACATGTTGTATTTCTGTTTGGTCCTATGCAGTGTAAAATTCTGTATGTTAGACTTCCAGAATCAGTGCATACATTGTTACTTATAACACATCATGGTATTTAAATGAATGTAGCCCAGTATTGAATGATTTTGCATTATGGATCATTGTGGCTAGTGACCTTGTCTTCTATTTATACCTGTACAGGTAAATCTGATAGGGGTATTTGTGCAAATAAACTCCATTATTTTATTTCAATATAAGTATAGTTGGTATCTCAAGATAATGAGAAAAAGTTGCAGCAGATTGTTTCTTAAAATCTTACCCAAGCCCCTTCTAGCCTTTGTTATTAAGAAATCTATCTTTAGTTATTAGGAAATCTCATCTGCATACAAATTCAAATGTAGGCTCAACAATTTATCCCAGCAATTGAAGTTATGATTGTTTATATTTTATTGCAGGTCTAGATTTTTTTCTCATTCTCTCATTATTCCATCAACTTACCTGTCTTTTCCTTCAATATTCCCTCTGTGTTGTTTTCAAGTGCACTATAAACTAAAAGCAAGGTTATTCAAATCATCATTAATCTCTCATGTATTGAATTCTTCATTACCAGACTACAATATTAAAAGGGTGTGTTGTTTCTTAATTAAGAATATTCCCTAAAAACTTTAGCAAATTTTTCCTTTATTGTGTGACAGCTTCAAGAAGTGATTTCTGTGTTCTTGTGCAGAGGTCATTATTGCCACATTAGTGAGATTCTGCTCAGGAGATTAGGAGTGAAGATCAAAATTTAGTCAGTTTGGAATACCAGCATAGTAAAATGTGATGCTGAAGGGATGTAGACACAAGAAGGCTCTATACCAGTCACTAGGTCTCTGTCATGGAGTATTATACACAGTGAACTCTACTGAATGCAGGTGGAAACTTTTTGTTTGATTGTATAAGTTCTGACCACCTCACCAAATTCAGTGATGTCACTCCATGTTTATACCAAAATAGCTATGAGAAAAAATACTGTTTATTTCTCTTTGGCTTATGTGTCTGTGTAATTCAGGTGTTCTCAAAACCTTGCCATTTCAGTCACAGGACTTTGTAAAATTTGAAATAAATTATTCTTGTTTTAATTTCTTCCCCTTCTCACTTTCTTTTCTTTTCCCCTTTCTTTCCTTTTTCCCTTCCACCTATTTCTTGTATTGATCAGGATTCGGTAGAGTATGTTACCAGTGACATTCCAAATATTACCCAGGAATCCCTAGTGAACACTTTAAGCTTTATCTCTACATCTCATTAATTTGTTTTAGCACCTTGTCAGAGGTACGGTCTATATCCTATATGCCAAGTATTAAACTATGGGGAAAAACATCCATATTTTGCAGATAAATCTTAAGAGATTACTTTTTTTTCTCAGCATGACGATGTTGGAACAGAGACTAAAATATTTGGCATCAGCCCTAAAAAACCACATACGTCACGGAACAGCCCTAGGAAAAGAGTGGTCAGTTGGGACACAACAATGTGTTGATGGAGTAGCAGAAATAAATGGACTGAAGAGTTTCTTCCAAGTACACATGGATGCACACATTTATAATCTGTGCTCCCAGGATGCGCAGATGTTCTTTTTGACTTCTAACCTTTTGGATTTTTTGGGGCCCTATCATGAAAAACTGTCAATATACTGTATCTTTATAATGCATTTGTATTTTAATGTGCTTTAATTCAAGCCTTAAGCTAAACCTGTTCTTTGATATTATTTGGTGCAGGAGTCAGTTTATTTGATCACATGAAAATTGGGAGAGAGGTGAACAGTTTCATGGTTGCTCATTGGATAATACCACCACAGTACATTTATCTGATCAAGCTAGTGTTATAATTAGTTTTCTATAGGTAATTTTCTGCCTTTGGATTTCAGTGGATTTAGGTTTAAAACAGTGTTTATCAAACTCATTATGCTTGAAGATCTCTGAAGGGAGAACTAGTGGAAAAGCAAAAGTTGAGGAGACGTAAAACTCTGCACACTGCTGACATGATGCCACTTCACTGGACATAGGGGGAGGTGGCTTTTATTCTAGTGACCAGAAAGAGTCCCCTCTCAGGCTGAAATGCAAGCATCTGCTCACCTGACCACAATTTCTCCTTCCTTGCCTGTTCCTTCCCTGTTCTTCCTTTTTCTTTCTCACATGCCAGGTATCTGAACATCTGAACTTTGTGCAAAACTATTGTCTTTACAAATATGTAAGTCTTAATAAGTGGTCTGATACAGCCTACGCAGGTATAAGGTACCCTACCAGAAACACCTAACAGATGAGAGAAAATGCATATGAATCAGAAAAAAAAGAAAAAATGACAGAGGAAAGAGTGCAGAAGGACCAGTACATTTTTATTTTTTTTTTATTATTCTCTGGCAATGAAAAGATTATTTTTTGCACAACCTACAAGTTTTTAAACTAAAACACTAGAGATTATTTCAGCTTCTAGATTTCAATGCTCCTACAAAATTTGAGGCTTTTGGATATTTTTAATACACATTTTTTAAAGAAGACTTAAAGTGAACAGTTTTGACTAATCCAAGTTGCACTTTGTAAATGTTTGTTTATTTTTGAATTTCCATCTTTGTTTTATCTGAGAAAATTTTCTTCAGAATATCTTACCCAGATCCACTCAGGGTATTGGCTCTCATGAATCCCACTTTGAACATTTAACTCACATATGCCATTTTGGATCTTGCAGAACCTTGGTGGCTTCTGTCATCAACAGATTGATAACATAATTGAAATGGTCTCCATTGACCAGAGGGGAGTCTTTCTAACCTAGTTGCCTCAATTAAATGCCTGTGGTCAAGTGGGGTGAATCCAAGTGTCAATCTGAGAAACCATCGAGAGATACATATGAATTTACCAAATCCAAAGGAATTTTAAGAACATGTTGGCATCTAGACAGTCCGTAAGTCAAATTTGTTAACAAATGTGCTAAACAGGAATGTTCAGCCAGATCATAGCAGTGCCATTATGGCCCAAAGTTTATTTAGTTTTGGTTAGAGCATTGACCACATTGAGGAAGTAAAGATCTCATATTTCTGTCTGCACTGAGCCTATCTCAGGAGAAGCTGAAGAAAGATTCTGAATAAAATTTGTCAGTGAACAGAGATGAGATGATTTTCACACAGTGAAATACTTAAGTGCTCATCTGTTTGAAAACAAACAAAAATAAATCTTTCAGTATCTTAATTTAGATGGCTAGTAATATGCAGTGTTGTTGAGGCTTTTTAAGTTGTTGAAGGCTTTCTCTACTAGCTTTCACTTAAACAAAGAAACAAAAAACCCCATAAATCTACAGTGAAATTTGTCATGCATTTTACCTCCAAAACCGTCTTATTTCCTTTATATTTTGCTGCTTTTCTTTTTTTTAAAAAAAAAAAAAAAACAAAAAAAAAAAAAAAAAAAAACAAAAAAACAAACAAAATAAAAAAACACCACTAAAGCAGGTTTCATTTTACCTGTTTGCTAAAAATAAGTTTTGCTACCATGCCTCTTAAAGTGCATATAGTGGCCTCTCTCTAACATAATGAAAATGGAGTAGGGAAAAAAAGAGAGAGAGAAAAGAGGAGTGAGGTTTCAAGATAAATGTATTTACAGAGATCCCTCCTCCCTTACATTTGTAATGGCTTAATTGGTATGGGGAAGTCTAGAACCCAACGGGATGTTCAAATTAACTCTGTTTTATTAATCACCATTGAGACCTCATTTTAAAATAGTTTCCTTTGAATAATACATTGTTTCTAATATCTGTAAATTGTTTAATGCTTCCTTTTTCATTATAAAAATGGATTATTCTCATTAGATTAATTATACATTCACTTAATTAGGCAATTCACATTGATCATCTGCCTTTTTTAGTTCATTCCCAGTTACAAATATAAAACAAAATTAAAAACATGCTGTCAGATTAGGTAAAACTGAAGCATATTAGCTATATTGTAATTGAAGGAAGAGCAGCTTAACATGTTCCCAGACATTCTAACTTTTTTTTCCATTATCATTCACTTCTGAATTTTTGATATATTAGAAATTTTTTTTATAGATTCTCTCTTTT